TATATATATATAGTAATAAATCTTTTCTAATTATTGGGCTATAGGTTACATGTGTAACTATACTTGAAAACAGATGGGTCAACCATTGGCAGTTACGCAGAAAAAACGAGCAGTTAGAGTGTGTTGAATGTTCGATGATGCAGACTACTGACCTAGCGTACATAGTAGAGCCAATTTTGAATTATAATCTTTGTTGGTACAGACATCCTGCTCCTTTCTCAAGCAGATCCAGGACGCTTCTCTGACTAATGCACCATTTTATTCAGGGAGTCTTCCCACATACAATGTGACATAAATGTGAATCTATCAAATATCTTCCTGCATTAGCCCGCTCAAACTTGTACTATTCACAATATGTAGAGCGACGTCGCCAAAGAAAGACTACTCACAAGCTTCAGTATACAAATAAACTAGGAGTTTATACGTGCTATGTTTAGGAAGTGCCTATGTGGCAGTGCTTTGTGCTACGTTATGGCTTTTTGTCAGTGTTGCTACCAGTAGAGGATATTTTCTGGCATCCTATCGCAGGTCACTTACGAACGCTGTTCATAGGTAACTTCCCCGCTCCGATCTGAACGTATCTGTGTGTTTCCAGATAAAAAAAGAAAATAATTCCCCCGTAGTGATTATTCTCTATGGACCAATATCTTATACCATAGAACTAAAGTACACCTGTTAATGACTAGAGGTGTATTGTTTGTTTCTTTGCGCTGCCAGCTTTCGAGAAAGATGTTGTCAAATTCCTGATTCAGTGTCATGCAGCGTGCTATTCTCGTGCACGATCATACGTTAAGCTTTGATATTCTGTTTTCATGTTTGCTGACAGGAGACGCAGTAACATCCCAGAGACAACAACAATTGTTTGTATTACGCATATTAATGGTAACAACATTTTCGTAGTTGTTTCTATTCGTTTAGAAAAAATCTGTCCAGTTGGAGCTGTTATGTGATTTCTGTGCCTGAAAGAAAATAAAGACATCTCCAATTCGCAACTACGATTCTAAGGTAATGATATCCATTTAGTGCTCTATTTAATAGGTTATAATGATCAAAGCAACGATACGAAGACGCCTACCCGAACTTCCCTTATAGACAAAAATCTGGAAGCCATACTATACAGATCATTGTGGAAGCTGAACGTTGTAAGCATCTAAGCGTCTCGTAGATCTTCCCGAGCACCAGTCTTACAAAGAGTTACTTTCAGAATGCCGGAACCCTATCAATGATCAGATTCGAGAATGAACAAATACATCCATAGTGAACAATGTGAAAGTTTAAGGACAAAGACTGCTTTACAAGACAAAGATCAGGCTAAGTAGCTCTCACATTTTGCCGAAAAAACTTGCAGAGGTAGATCTCAAAAACACGGTGAAGTATTTAATTGCGCTCTTTGGGTACAGCTCCTCATGTTGCTCTAAACGATGTAGAAACTAGGAAAATCTTATAATTAAGGAATATACATACGCCTTCATTATAACCAGCCGAGATGTTTTCCTTAGCAGATTTGATCCTCTATCATGTGCCAATTATACAAGTCACCTTCAGCGTAGACCATCTAAACCGGTGGCCTATTTACGTAAAGATAGAATAGCCAATAGTGATATCGGAAACAGAGTTAGACAATGTCCTGATCGAAAAGACAATTAAAATGTCTTGTTGTTGTAATTTTTATAGATTGGTTATCTATAAAAATTGACCTATAGCAACTTGATAATTTGAACGAGTACTCTCAGCCTCGCTGGTCCTTAAGGGGGGGGATGTTTTTAGCTCTGGTAGACGCCCTTTCAAGGCGACCTGAATTATATATGATGAGGCACGAGCCTCATCGAAATCGCTCGAGCAGAGAAAAAATCTTTAACAGGCTTTGAAAATTCACCATATAATAGTGGGTAATAATCCATATTTAACGATATTTTTTGCTCTGTTTAGTTTTTGGAAATTAAATAGAATAAGCAGGCAGATGCGTCGTCAGTGTATATGACTACGAGAATACAGCGGACTAAAAATTCGAGCACAAAGCTTCTGCCAATGTCATCCCTTTAAAACGTCATCGAATTCGACAGGATCAGCTCCGACTAGCAATCATAATCCGAAAAGCAGACCTAAAATTGTGTTGGATGTTCCAACCGTTGATGAAGAGGCAAAAAAAAACTGGGCAGATTTATTTCACAAAGGTTTTTAGAGGTCGTCGTTTGAGGTATAGCTCGTGTGAGCCTGCGATCTGGCAGTAGAAGAAGTAGAGCAGAAGAGCTGACTGCCAGGAGTTACCAAGAAACAAACCAAAGATGTGATGTGTCTAGCAAATAAATAATGGTAAATAGATTCGCTATTCTAACTAACTAAAATCAATCACTACATATAGGCATAACTAAAAAAAATTCACAATGTCAGGCGACGATCGGACTCGTACGGTACTAACGGATTAGAGCACAGCGCGTTCGAAAGAAAACTACAACCAAGCTTAAGATTACCAAATATGAGAAAAATACATTACAGAGCGAAAAAGTTCTGAAATAAGGGAAGGTGCGACGTTGAAACTCATATATAAGATACAAGTCAATATAATCATCGTTTGTTCCCATATACATAGACAGTAGATTTAACGTTCTAAGATAGTATTCTAGAACAAATGTTTTAAAAATACTGGTGAATAAAGTTGACGTTTTGATTGTTCACTGCGACCATGAGATCCATTATATAATTTGGTGTGATGATATCGTGCTTTCGTACAGGTGTCCATATTTTGTACGTATCTTTTACATCTTTATGCTTTGCAGACATCCTGTCTATCAGTGCAAGACCATATATCTCTATAGACTTAGTTAAGAAAATATTGGAAAAACTAATCAAATTACATCGACGACACGCATTTTATTTACTAGACCTGGATGTGGTCATCCCCATGACACAAAATCACTTCCCTGCTATACTGAAACTGCCCCGGTTGATAGGCAGTGCTGCCCGCTGACTCGTCTGTAGTAGCAACTGGTGGCATTAGACGAAATGGCGAGATAACTTGTTAGAACATCGGAATCGGGTAGTGCGAAAAAAAATAGACGATCTGCAGGGAAACGCTCATTTAGAAGACGTGACAAGCTAGAAGCTACTGATAGTGATAATCTTCAAAGTTATGGCGCCATGTACAGCACGAAAGAATTGAGCTAAGGCCGTCAATAGCAGATCACGTGGGTCGACTGCGTCTAATTGGCCGAAACGAAACGATATGCTTGACGCAGTTTGTGAAAACTATGGAAAAAACATGAGCGAATAATCGTTCTAAGATAATGAAACGTATATATAATACGTGGCAAATGACGAGCTTGCTCTTTGTTTAAATTCGGCCCGGTCATAGATTCGAAGGTGGCCGATTTTTGCGAACATTTAATAAACGCTTAGCTGAAAAGCTTTTCTATTCAAACTCATTGAAGTGACTAGCCGCGTGTCATTCGCTGGCGAACTTGAACAAAAGAAGAACCATGCTAGAAGATAAGCTTCAACTGACCCATGTGACAATATTAACTAAAATAGTGATAACAAATTTCCTTTGTTTACACGTAATTTATGATGAACTTATTGAGTAACTATAACGGTTGGTTGACTAGGCATTCGATTGAAAATGCCTTTATTTCAACTTACAGACCGGCTGAAATGGAAGGCTTACGACAGTAATTGTTTTTAAGCACGTTTGACTGGCAGCGCAGGGAAGTTTTTCTTTCTGCTATATTTTCCAAATCGCCATTAAATTCTCTAGTCGTCGTCTGATTCATTGTTCCTTACGACAAGTCGTCGCTTCTTTGAAAAATTGACGTTGACGATTAATTACGGTTACATACATTTCAACATGCGTAATGGCTCGTCTGTTTTCGGGCAGATGGTAACGACCGTGCTGTTACTGCCGCCAACAGTAATAACAATACAAATAGAGGTTACGACAATTACCAACTATTACAAATTAATATATTTTACTGGATACGAGTACCTGGACTATTAATACGTTTCGGCTGAAACGAAGTGCTTCACGTAGTTAGTTTTATTACGTGCGAAAAGCTAGCAATCGTTTCGCGAGGCCTCTTGAAGGCACAGCAAGCTATTAAGATAAAGTGGTGACTTAAGTCAAGCAGATCTCAATTACGAAGAACAGCTCAATTTGTCGAAGATGTGGAAACCTTCTCAGTGCACACCAAGTTATCTTTACGAAGGAGGATATATTAGACGTAAGTTTACAAAGAAACACAGAGTTTCGTGATGCATATATATATATATAGTATTTTCGGTAGTGTGCCCGTAATCCACTTCGTATTCGTTCGTTATAATGGCATTCATGCTTACTGTTTTCGGTGCTCGGGCCCCCATGATATATTTTATTGAGTGGTACACAACGCTAGTATCTTTTATTTTCAGATTCAATGAAATTATATTATATTCCATCTAGTCTGTGCTGTTTCAGACATGTACGGCAAAAGCGATAGTAAGCATTTTCAGCGATGAACTTTTCAAGTAAGAGGGAGTATTAGACGTAAAAAACGGTGGCTGGCTAGTTGTATCACTGGGATCAAAAAAAAACCTGCAGGTGGTTGTGGTGAGCAACAGCGCGTCGAAGTTAAGTGGAAAGTTAGGTCTTTCCTCCCTCCCTACATTAACCGGATCGTCAGCTTATCAATTGGTGAAGACCTTCTTGGCTAGGTGGATACGACATCTTCATAAAGTGATACTTATTTCAAACGATATACGCAGGAACATGAGATCTAGTAAATGCACAATTTTATGAGCTATTGCGTGTTTAAATGGGTGCTTTAAAGGACTATATTTTTACTTAATTTTATGTGAGCTTAATGTGAACTCATTCAGATGCATGTTATTTTTTTTTTCGTGAAGAAGTCTGTGGTCGAAAATAATAACTACGGTAAAAATTCAGGTGTAGGCGTATCGGTATGCGTCATCGATTTTGTATTGCTCCGTAGAGTCTTTCGAATATCACCGTCGAATACTTCTTTTTGGTATGGACGCATATCCATACATTTGAAGATACACTATCTATATTCGCGCGTAATCGTACCTAGTCCGAGCGAACAGGAATCAGAAAGCATTTTCTACAAGGGTCTGCTACGGTGTAAATGTTTTAACCTGTCTCTGTTTCTTTAGACACCGTTTGTTTTTTGTTTTTTTTTGCACACAAGTAAAGCCGATATCACTCGCCAAAAATGCCATTCGTGCCAGATTATTTACGGCCGAAGATTCTGAAAATTGCCTAATCCAATTTCTCTATCAGTAATCACCGTAATACGTATCGGTAGAACGTTAGCTAAACGCATAGCCCATTTAGTTAAACGCCATATCTAAGTGGTAGTTCTTGACGCTGATCCATTTTGGACTGTCGAATATCTGGATAAATAAACGTACAAATATTCTAGTTGATTACAGCCAAACAGAGATGCCCGTCGTTATCGTTAGTTATTAGCAAGAACGGCATGTTTGTTTTTCGTGTTGTGATATTTCAACTTGTTGCGCTAGGTTTCGTCTAACTACAACGTATTCAACGATCAGCAATAACAGCAACGATTTTTTGCTGCGAATTGTTACTGCTACCAAATGGGTTAGATTGAACTAAAATTAAAGGTGGGTTACAGGCTTTGCCGGGGCTTTAGCCGATTGATGATGTCGACAATCGCCGCTATGATGGTATTGTCGCTGCTGTTAGAAGTTGGTTGGGGTTCGAATGCCGGTACCACTTGTGGGCACGATGTTGCCAGGGGTACAGTTATGTCCGGCGGAAGCTCGGGGCGGCGCAACAGCAGGTGCAATTGCCTTACCCCTTTCTCGCTATGAAAGGGGCCTTCGCGCACTAGACTCCTTCAGGCGTTGCCCACCAACCCGTCCCGACGGCACCAGCGACAGCTTCCAGATATGATGGGGTGGAGGGTAACACCGACGTACCAGCAAGATACGTCGTTTACCGCGCTAATTTTTGTGCAAATGGCTCAGCCTATCTGTTTGTCTATATGTGTATGCGATGAGTTATGGTCGTGCGTAAGATAGCTGCCATTAAACGAATAGATTCATAAAAAAACGTAGTCTGGATTTACGATAATACGTTACACGTATCTAGTTCGCGCATACAAAGTTTTAAACGTTTCTATTCGCTAAATATACGTACTGACTGATATGAATGAAGCGTGAGATATCAAGTACCTCCATAGATGAGGAGCTAAATCTAATCAAGCTATACTACTCATTGTTCTTTTGTTCTTTTTTTTTTTTTATTTATACGGTGACACACGTGACTTATGTTCATATCTTTGGTTACCTTTTGCGTGGCCAGGGCATCCTTCTCAAGATGCTTACGTTATATAACAGTGAGTACTCGTTACGCGGTAGCTGCGGCATCACTCCCAATTTACTCTACTGAAATCACACACGCGCCAGTCACCTCAAAATGAACGAATCATGTCATCATTATTCCCACCCATGAATTTCAACATTTGCTCTAAATTGCCATTGCCTACGCCCAAAGTATTTGTTGTCGCATCTACGATCGGTATGTTTCAATCAGTTTTGCTGCCGGGCTGCCAATGTTGTTGGCTATACTATAGAAGGTTTGATGGGTGTACATGTGTTGGTAGTGAGATGTTTTTCGTGGTCAAGCGGCCGCCGCGGATAGCGTCAGCGGCAGTTACTTTCCGCAAGACTTCGCCATAGATGGCAACGGGACGCGGTTATGTTGCGATGGAACCTGACTGAACGGTGCAGCTGTATCGCAAAGGCAATAGCTACATTCACGGCCGTAGCTCGTTGATGATTGTTGTGAGCTGTTATTTGGTGATGGGCGTCGGACCACAGTGATGATAGCGCTATAGTACAATTCACTTTCCTCTTTGTCGCGGCCGCTACGTACGCTAAAAACGTGAACTGTGAACACGTCAGTCGGGACCATATAAAGCATTGCTCGAACGTAGACAGGCGCAAACCAACATTCGGTAGGTGTCTACTACAGATGCATATTATTACCATTTCTACTACTAGCAAGTCTATGACTAGTGAACGTAAGCAGCTGAGTTTCGCGTCAGTGAGATGTAACGAAAAAGGATAAACTCTGGAATAACTGTCTTCTACCGAGAACAGCTGTTGAAACCGTGCCGCTAGCTAAGAAAATGCTTTCTTCCAATAGAAGTCTTCTCGCATCTCGTTCCATGCTGGATATGATACGCCTATGTCACTTTTTGTTGTTTATGATGACGCATACAGGACAATGTGCTTGGGCAACGAGATCATGGTCCGGCGTTCAGTTAGTTCCCATAGTGATGATGGCGTTTGACGCAATGGATTTCGATTTGCGTACTGTTTCCCAGAATGAAACAAGGTTTATACTTTGCCATCTTGGCCGTAGTTCATACAGGATGTCATTTAAATAGGCCAGTCTACAGTCACAAGGTTATTTTTGGCTTCGTGAAGGATCATCTGGCTTAGCTTTGACAAGCTGTATGGGATGCTGAGGAAGGATCTCTCTCTCTCTCTCTCTCTCTCTCTCTCTCTCTCTCTCTCTCTGCTTCTATAATTCTCTAAGCTAACCTTTTGCGTTGTTCTTTGTTAATTTTTTTATTTTTTTGCAGAGATGTCGTCCCTTCGTCGTGTCGTATTTGTCGCTGTTCTAGCCGCCCTAGCCTTCCACCATCCCGCCTCGGGATTCAGGCTTAAGAAACTCGCCAGAGCTACCCTGCTGGGTGCAGCCGTAGCTCCTCGATTCGTACCCATCCCCATTCCGTGAGTGAAATGGCGTTTGTATTCTTAGTATTATTATTATTCGTGACAAATGAAATGCACCCGAAATAGCTTAAACGACTTCAATTTTTTTTTGCTGACCGTATGTATACGATCTCCTGTTACTCTCAGGCACCACGTGCATGCCCACCATGGTCATCACGGACATCACCACGTGAAGGAGCACCACATACACGTTCCGCTTCACCATCACAATGAACACCATTACCAAGTTGTCCACCATGACCATGGACATCACGAAGAACACCATGGTCACGGATGGGACCACCGGCACGGAGGGTGGTAAACAGCCCTAAAGCTGCTGTGCAAAATAGGATCCTTCAAACACCCTTAGCAGTAACAACATCGGAGGTATTTATGGCCATTGCCAGCAACTTGAAACTGCATTGTGGTGAACAGACCTCCAAAAAGATCAGACACATATAAATTTACTTAGAGTCCTTCAGGATTCACCTACGACGCTATTAGGCCAAAACGCCAATTTGCACTTGACATAGTCACTCTCGTCGAAGGGACTCGTCAAATACGCCAAAGTTTAAAGCACAATTACCTATTTTCTACCCATGTTTTGCTAATTAAAAAAAGTCCTGGTGATGTCGCGAGGTCGACCTTTAGCTGTATATGGGAGACCTTGCTATTCATCGAGAGGTCGATCCTATTGTCTGATTTACGATTAGACGAGATAAATTAAAGCTGCTAGCTTACTGACCGAAAATGCTCAAAAGGTGGTTATATATGGTTTAAAGCAGTGCTGCATGATCGTCCCTATATTGTAATTGATGTTAGTTGATTGTAAAGGTTGAAATAGCAGCCTTCACGACGTTACTTGTCATGCCAGATTCTGCCATGCAAGCAAATCCCGAACGGCCTGTCCTCGTTCGTTATGTTCCTTTCACATGCCGGATGTTGCATCCTTCTTGTGTATTTCTGTCTAAATGTACAATGAGTCTATTGTCTCTCTCCTGACAAATTGGCCAGGGTCCGCCACTAGTGTCCTATTTATGTCTTAATCCCCACCTTTCTTATTGCTCTTCCCGCCTGCTAGTGGCGTTTCGTAGATTGGCGTAACGTCGTTTGTACGCCTAGCTATGCGTGCGCGTGCCTGCGTGTATGTTTGCGTAAGCTTATGTAGTTCCAGTTTGGTAACTATTTGCGCTTATTTTAATGAGCATGTCGGTGATAATAATTCGTGTATACAATGTATCCATAGTATAAACAGTAAATATATTGTTGTAATAATGCGTTAGTTCGTTTGTCCTTCTACCTGGACGCAAGGCAGAACACATCTTAACTTCAATGTTGTTGAATATTGTACGTACTGTTACATGTAAAAAATCTCTTGTGAATATATGAAAATGTTATATACGTATGTTATCGTTGTATTTATTTGTGTGTTTACCCGAGATAGACATTTACTTTAGCGGTCGCTGCTATATATAGTTATGTGCCATACTGCATTGGGGTTTGCATAATTAACCAGTGGTCATATATATATATATATATATATTTCGCACTTCATAATTTGAAAAAAATATTCCACATTAATTTTGGATAATCTCTCCTCGCTTCGATTTTAAATTATTCTGTTTTAGTCCTATTTAACATTATTTTAGTGAATTTTACTGATGCAATGTGTATTCGGGATTGCTAGCTTCAGCTATCCTCTCGCGTACATATCAATTCAGCATTTGGCTCATTGCCAAAGATTATTTCGCGCATTTTTGCCAGCCTTTGCACCTCCCAGCCACCACAACCTATTTTTTTTAACTATCACAAAAAATGGAGCTGCTAGCTTGATTTCCGTTTTAGAAAAAAAAAAAACATTTCCATTATCCAGAACAGATGTCTGCGTGCATATCTTAAGTTAGTAATGGTTAAATAGTCGGTAGAAATATGGACGTGTAAAGCAAAAATATACGATTGAGACAGCTATCTTGTTCAGAGGAAATGAAGGGATATTTAAGCAACTACAGGGTTTCGATGAGGTGTATACAGTAGGTTAGAGCTTTGGCCTAGATTGGAATACCATCATTATAACGACGGTTTGAATTTAGAATTAGCTCAAGAATGGTATCAACACGGACCTCGATTGTTATTCCCAGAGGTTCATTAGTATTATAAAAACACGTCAAATGACTTGTGGTCTACTTAAATCTCTTAATGACTGATCTACAATCATGCGAAAATTCTATTCAGCTTACCGAAAAATGATGACAATTAAACCCTGAAAAAAATGGCCATATCTACTTGGATTTTTTTTTTGATAATCGTTGCTACCACAATAATTGCTTGAGAATAGAATGGTTATAGTATTGTTAGAGTGTCACGCGATGTTTTGTCTCTATGGTCCGTAGGCTTCATTTTTGCTAGAAACGTCGAAACAAAAAGAATGGTACTATCGAAAAATGCTGTCACTTTTTAAAAGATGCACATAATTGTGGTAAAAAGGTTAGTTGATCAATCTTTTGCTAAAAGTGTCGCCTAGAGTGCCGTAGAAATTGAAGCAGGGTTAGGCTTCGCCAAATGTAGCATACGTTATGTGCTTATGGTCTATTACGAGCTTCCTACATCAGGGCATCAGCTGAATATTAGAGAAGAAGTGGATGAGGATTAAGACCTGAAAATTTCTGTGCGCATTATGACGCATTTCTCCTTGCTCATACTTCATTCAATTAAAACATCACAACCGCCATGTTAGATGAACGTTTCCCACCTGTAAACGTAACTACAGTACCTATTTATTCTTATACGTGTTTAAACATAACTGTGCCACTGCTAACCCCGTCTTGACATCTTAACTACGTATAAAAGTCGATATATATATCTTTTTATATCCATAGTCCATATATATCTCGCATTAAGATCAATGTGTTAGCCATACAATAGAATGACGACACATGCACATGCTATTTAAAAATAAATACGACCTTCATCTCAAGATCTAAGCCGTGCTACCGTCAATGTGTAACGTGTAGGCTACAGAAGGAAGAATTGTATGGGTCAAAAAGACACCAGTACTTTTTGGTCGTTAAACCAACACATTAGCAGAAATAGCTCGGTAGATAGGCTGCATCACGTATACCATGTCATGCAAGTGCTCGACCTCAAAGAACACGGACCATCCGCTGTCTGTACTAGAAAGCTCCGGTAGAATTTTCGGTTAGCCAGGTTTAACAACCTAACCTTAGGGACAGGCGAGCCGAGGTAAACTGCAACCAAGAACGGATTTAGACGAGCTTGAAAAGGTCGGCCTGATGATCAGTGAAACTGCACAATTCCTCAAATCCTCAGATGTTCGGGAATGAGGTTAATAATCTCCTACATAAGCTTGTCGTTAGTCGCCTCAGTATCGAAGCGATGTAACTTTTCAGCAGAAGGCGTCGTGAACTATAAAGAGAATATATATCATACGGATGTGATAGACTATGCTTGATGAAGTTTTTATTACTGAGATCTTCGATAAACACAACTATCTAAACAAATGGAACAAATAGTTGTTTATTAGTGAATAATCATACCATTATTAATATAAGCACCGCACTACCAGTTAAAGGCAACTTAAGTGAATGATGCCGAGGGTGCGACATAAATAGAATAAATAAAGCAGACGGAATATGTTTATTGCGTGTAAATTAATTAAATTGTCGCGGTAAATTTGAATATCTTTTACATATTTTGATCCAAATCTCGATACCTCAGAGACACAGATCGACTTGCCGTATCTCTGTTCTGTTTGTACCAATTGTTCGTTTTTATGAGATGTTTGTAGGGCTTGTTAATTGTCAGTATCCCCTTGAGAGTTTACCCTACTTTACAACAGGGTATTATGCATTTTGTGAAGATGAGTCATATATATTGCAGCAATCTAGTGAATTAAACATCTACGTCAGAACACGTTAGATGCTTAAGCCATTACTTATTTTACTTAAAAATAAAAAAAAAATACAGATGCGGTACCTTGAAATACTTTGAAACATCTGAGCGTGGGCTCGCTTTTTATTTATTAGTAAGTCTCATTTTTCTCGTATATCTCCGATATAACCAGCACATTATTAAGAAGAAACCTCGTTTTATGACAAGTTATGCCTTAGGTTGATAGCTAATTTATTTAAAAATATATTTAATACGTTGCCCTGACAACATCACTATTGGAGCTGCAAGATCATATCTCCGCCACGACGTTTCAACAATAATCAGGATAATTTACGGATAACCCCAACTACTTGTATATGACAAGGGCATCAGGTAAATGAATGTTGAGACATTAGTATAAACTAAATCTACAAGCGTCAGCCGTTCCATCAGCCCAAATGGACAGAATAGAAAACTTATTATCCTACGAAGAGATTTGTTTACTAGAATATAAATGTGGAACATTAAAGGATGGTTTGTACATACAACTACGATAACAAATAATTTTTTATAGGATGTTGCAACTAAAGCTGTTATTACAGTTATTACAAAAAATGTATATCTAGAACAATTTTTTTAATAATTGTGTTGTTATATGCCACACAATATGAGATCACATATGCTCATTACTTTTTCATCGAAGCGTTTATTTACCTTTATTTCTCATAGAAGTAGACAACGAATAGGTTTGAGGGTAGATGCGAGCTAAAGCTGACAGGTCGACCCCTCTTAGTTCAATTGTCGGCTGTGGTTTCCAACCAGAAAAATCTGATACATTCAGTGTGTTATAATCACCGAAGCAATGAAAGGTTGGCGCTATTACAGAGACTTCTGTTATAGATAAGGGTTTGCATATATATATATATATATATATGCAAAGATCGTTATAACAAAAAGTTCGTAATGTCAAATTAGAATATGACGTTTTATAAATTATATTGTTGGAATAATTAGATAAAATAATATGTATCTAAATGCCTTGTAAAAAGTCTCCTAGTCTAGTGTAAAAAAATCTCCAACTTATCAACTTACTCAATCTACGTGTAGTGATGGCGAGCTCTTGCGCTTACGAGCGCGTACGGCCTTGCAGCTAATATCGAGTTCAAGTAGCGCTGAACTTTACTGCAGTTACTCCATGAAGTACGCCAACAAATATATCGTGTTCTTAAATTCACCGAAATATATAGACTTCAAAGGGTTCGTGATCCTCTAGACATCGAACTGTATTGTGTAATTCGTATAATTCAGGATAGCCGTAGCGGATGTAAGCGATGGTCTTTCCTCACTAAAAAATAGCCCTCTGAGATAACTGCAAATAAAATAAAGTTAGCTTTTTGCTGCCTACAAAGGCAAGATCACATCCGCTTCCAACATGGAGATGGACCAAAGGTCTACCTAACTTATTTAAGAATATAATTAGTATGTACGTATTTCAATATTATTAAACGCACCCTCAACTGTTTTTTCCTTCTATGAGAAATGTTAGACTTTAACCGTCTGGCATTGCCGCGAAGATTTGTCAGGAGAGGCGTTGCTAGATTTATCCATGTTTTGTCTAACCGTCCTTCGCCAATAGCGTAAATTCTGATATTTCCATAGTATCATTTTTTCGTTTGTTTCTTTCTTCTTGTAATAAGCATTCCCTAAATGTCACCTGTATTCAAGGTTGCGATGTTAAAATGGTTCGATTAAATCATATAACCAATATCTAAACTGGGTGAATATTATTGACTTTTATAGCCCTTTGACTGGATTTCGCAATTTACATTACCCATCTTCCGTCGAACAAACACCCTGTTGATCATCGTAACAAATATTGTCAGTGATTCAAGATACGCACACGCATTGACTTCGTCTTTGAACAATTTCGAATTTGAAAGTTCCCAATGTAGAAGGCGAAGGAGAACATAGGTCTACAATACAAATCTATACCTAAGAAGAAATAGGCTCTTGCTTTCCCCGTCTCGCCTGGATGGTCAAATTGCCAAAGCAATGGCTTGTAGGCTTCATGAAGACTGATGTCCATCATGGGTTTTCTATCAACATCGAGACTATCGGATCGCTCAAGTCATTAAATAATACTGTTTTCCTCCTCTGGCGCTGAGATGAGACGTTTTAAATGAGATGGCGTGTGTTCCACTGATCGATCAATGCATGGTATCGCAATATAGTATACGATAAACTGATGTCCAGTATTTGAGCATTCACCACTGTCTAATTAATTACATAGCAGCTTCAACCGTTCGAAATTTTCATAAGTGAAAAGGACCGCAGGGCGAAATGCTAAGAAAAGACTGTCTTTCTAGGGTAACTAGGACAACATACGTTAAAGTTAAAAATTAGCGAAAATCCTTATGTTTTGTCTTCTATGAAAATCTTTTCATGCGGCTAGCTTTTTTTTTAAATATATGTTCACTGTACATTTTGGTAGAAAAACCTAATAATTTTATTTAATTA